TCACATTCAACCCAGCTTCAGAGAACTCTGGAATTGAAAAGGGGTCCTTGGGGCCACTGAGTTTCATCCCAATTCAAGCAAGAATCAAAATTAGAACGCTCCTGAGAAACAGCTGTCTCGCCTCTGAATACATCCATGAGCCACCAGTTGCCTAAGTTCTAACCAGCATCTACCTTTCAGTAACTTATAATTCTGCTTCTGCACTCTTTTCTCCCACATGGCACCCCTTCTGCTATCCTATTCCCCCAGTCATCAATTCTTAAGACTAAACGCACCCAGTTCCCCTTTATTTCCTTGAGAGTTTAGTTTCTAGGCCCTCGACCACCCATTCAGAGCATGCCAGTTGTCCAGAGAAGCAGAAAACTGGGCTGTGGTTACTTCCAGCAGAAAGAAACTTCCATCATTCCAAAAAGCAAGACAGTGGCTTTGCATGCAAAAAATCTCAAATGCACAGGAAAGGAAAGAGTCGCTTGCAGTGAGATGGGCAGTGACAAATTTGAAACATAAATAAGTAAGTAAGTAAGTTTCTAGGCAGTTAAGCTGGACAAATTCTGTATGTGGGATCAGTGGCAGAACTGCTGTTCTCCAATCCCTACATAACCAAATTCATCACCCTTCAGCCCCATGTTTTGTAGAGGAATATCCCCAGTTCACTGTCCAATTGAAACTTTGGGTGGACAATGAGAATGGTCTCATCCTGTTTCCTTCTCCCCCTTCTCCATCCCAGCATCCCATTTCCAGCTGCCGGATCCTGTTGAGAAGAATACAGGAATTTAGGTGACTCTGTGCTGTCATCTCATTTTCTGGAAATTTGGGTTGGCGGAGGAAAAACCCAACTTCAAGTGAAGTTGTCAGACACCTTTTGGACGTTGCCTTATGGAGAAGCACCCAACTATGTACCTTGCCTTTTTTGACTCAATATAGCAAGGAGGAGAAATCTGGGGCCCTCCAGATGTTTCAGAATGACAATTCTCCAAATCCTTAGCCACTGGACATGCTGTCTGGGCTGTTCATCAAGGCTAAAGATTCCCCACCACACACATGGTATAAACCTTGTAGAGTCAAAGCAAGTGGTATGAAGAACCAATAAGGCCATCACAGTGAGTAAGTCAACTGAGAGTGCTACACTTCTAAGAGGCCACTGTGTCTTGCTTAAGTTGAATCTTCTCTGGGTTATCTTAGCCAAATGAGAATGGTTAAGTCCATTGCTTGTGGACAGTCACTATTCCGGCCAAAGAAGGAAAGCAAATTTAGATTGCTCCCGCCCTTCAGATGGTAATGTGCATTATTGTGCTTACTTAAAATGTGCTAAGCCAGCCCTGGCTCAGTTTGACTCCTCCCTTGCTCATTCTGATGAAGGAAACCCTGGACAACTGCCCCAAACATCTACCTTGATAGCACCCCCGGGGGGAGAAGGCATTTAATGAAAACCATAAGACCCACTTCCTTTATTCTTTTCTTTAAAAAAAAATAATCTGTAGCCAAATACTCCAAACCGCATAAGAAATAGCTAAAGGGGTCCGAATGAGTAAGAGGGAAGGCCAGCCGTTATTTCCTTCCCTTAGCCTCCTGTTCTTGAAGTCCCAATTTGCTTGAGGTACCAGAATGTTTTACACCGCCTCCCCTTCAAACTGTAGCTTGTTTTTGCAAAATGCCTTTGGAGCCAAGTCAGCTCCAAGCAATGTTGCAATGCCTCATGGTTTTCGTTTTGTTTAATTTCAACCTCGGTCTCATGAAACAAAGGTCAAAGCAAACTTTGCTGCAAACTCGGACGGGAGCAACCGTCTTCGGCTTCTTTTGTCTTGTGTGTAAGTATGTATGTGAGTGTGTGTGTTTTTTCCTCCTCTGCAACACAGAAACACAGAGCAGGGTGTCCTGCCCCTCTTGGGACTCGCTGCTTTCTCCTCTTAAAATGACTTTTGATCAGGATGCAGAGGAAGAGAAGATTTATTTGAAAACCTAAAAGGATGGGGCAGTTTGAGTGTTTCAATAAAACTACCTGGAATGTTTCCTAACATTTTCATGCAGAACCTGCTTCAGTCACATTCTCTGAGGCATAGCGCAGCCAAAAACAACTAAGGATGAAGGAAAATTGGGGGAAAAACAACATTGGATGTTTCTCCCAATAGAAGCTACCCAATGAGGGCAGAAAAGTAGTTATGAAATCAAAGAGCTCAAGAAAACATAAGAAACCTGTCTGAAGTTTTCCTCGTCCAGATTCCTGCTTCTGACTGTGGCCAGCTAGGTTCCTGCAAGAAACTCACCAAAACTGAGAAAGTGACCCAATTTTTTCCAGGTTGCCAACTAGGACCACATAAAAAGAGCTTTGCAGCTTGGAGACAAGCTAGATAAGAGAGTACTGAGAGAGGTTCTTAAAACAATGAAAGGGGGGAGAGGATCCTTCTCCCATTTTATGACAATCTAGAGCCATTGTTCAATCTGGACAGATGCGGAAAAAAGGAAGTTGTACTTTACGTAATGCTTAAAGAATCCACTACCTTCAGATGCTGTGGTGAACACCAACTGAGATGGTTTTAAGACGACTAGACAAATTAGACTAGACCAGTAGCCCTGGTTATGGTTTACTGCACCCAAAACAATAACATAAGAGACTTACTATTCCATTCTTTGTGTTTGTGAGTTCCTGGGTGCAACTGGTTGGCCACTGTGTAACAAAGGATGCTGGATCACACAAACCCTTGGCCTAATCTGGTCTTAGGACTCCTAGGTTCATACATGCATATCTCAGAAGTGGTAATGAACAGGCTCATTTAGAAGAAAGTGATGGATTACCTATAAAGGAACACTTTATTCTGCATCTTTAAGGAATTCTAGTCAACTGAACCTCTGTTACTCACAAGACTTCACCTTGCTCCCAGTTCCTAACAAAACAGGTTTTATGTTACAGGACGGCCCCCATTTCTGGAGTACAGTTTGAATTTAGTGGATAAGTAGTGCAGTAGAAGAGAGTTCCCTAAAGGTTTGACCTTGCCAAAAAATACAATGTTCTCAGATCAAGGAGAAGAAAGGAAACTCACCTTCTAGCAAGAAAAGCCATTGACTTCTTTCAGAGAGACCCTGCTGAGAAGGAGATTCAGACTTGACACACCACATAGGCTCCTTATTCAGGCTTCCCCTACACTCACCAAAAGTCTTTCCTCTTAAGACTGGAGAAATTCCAAATATTGTAGGATCTCCATAGAATCTCCCATCATTTCTCCAGTTTTAATCTTTTGGTTGTTGCTGGGTTTTTTTTTAAACCACTTGTAAATTTCTTGGATTTTTTTTTTTTTTAAATTAGTCAGGGTTTAGTGGGTTTTCTTTGAGTGAATTGGCATGCTACTTCAACAGGCTAGAATGACTTGCAAAAATCAAGACCACCAACTGAATATTCTATGTGCCAGCATTTCACAAGACAGCAACTTGAGGAAAGGGCAACGTGCATTCAGACAGCTCCATGAGCTAGAACACAGAGATTGGAGGCAACCAAGAAGCCAATCTCAGTAAAATAATTAATCAAAGATTAGTCCCAAAGGAAATCAGAAAGTCAGAAAGCTTTTCTTTCTCAAGATCAAGGATTAGGTGCTGGGAAAAAAGATGTTCAACAGCCTAGAACAGCTTTGCTCTCAGAACTCCAGCTGAACTTTAGCTGCTGAAATTGTCTTTGGTGTCATTAATTTACAAGCAGGTTTTTACTCTTGAGGTCAAAACTACACCCTCCCACACTGATAATCGTACGCCTAAGCAAATCAGAAAGGCTTGTAAACACAACTTCCATTCAAAAGAAACAACAGGAACAGACCAGATTTCAGCATGCCAACAGATGAACATCTTTCCAGGGGCATGTCTCAGATCTTTGGTAAACCACCTTTGCCTCTTGCAGTGAGGAGACAAATACCCTGAAACTATTGGTGTTCTAAGCATCATTATCACCTAGAGCAGGAAGTGAGGGGCATCAAGAGTCTACCTGGATAGGTATAAGATTGAACCTAGAGAGTCCTGCCTACAAAGCATTTTCCCACTTTCCTAACAACTGGCAACCAATAACCCATACTGGGGACTGCTAAGCAGATCACTTGGCTGTTCAGATAAATCAAGGATGGTCTAATTTGTGTTGGCCAGACTGCCAATGTGGAAACCAGTGCCACCAAAAAGGGAATAATAATAATGCCAGTTTGGCACAGTGGCTAAGGCACCAGGTTAGAAGCCAGGAGACTGAGTTCTAGTCCTCCTTAGGCATGAACCAGCTGGGTGCCAATGGGCCAGTCACCCTCTCTCAGCCCTAGGAAGAAGGCAATGGCAAACCACTTCTGAAAAACCTTTCCAAAAAAACTTCAGGGACCTGTCCAGGCAGTCACCAGGAGTCAACACTGACTTGAAAGTGTGTATGCATGCACGCGTACACACACACACACACACACACACCCATGTACATGAAGGAAGCTGGGTTTTCCCCTCTCCCTTGGATTTGTAATTGTTATTATTGGTTTAAAAAAAACCTGTTACACTAAGATCGCACTTGCACAACATGCTACATCTTAAAGAAGGGTAGTCAAATATAATTGTATTCACTACTATAAATTGCCAGAGGTCATTCTTGATTTAGTGGTAGCGAGGCATCGATGAATGAATGAATGAATGAATGAATGAATGAATGAATGAATGAATGAATGAATGAGCTGTGTGAAAACAAATAAATCATGCTGTGTTTCCTAACTTGATAGCCTAATTCATCAACGTGCTAAATAAAAGTTGGGTGTCCCACAAGAAGACTGAATCATGAAAAACCCAATCCTACTTTAGTCTAGTCTAACTAACTGTACAAATTTGGCTTAAATTAATGCATTCCTCTGTCTTCTGCCTGAAAGTAGTAGGAAATTCTTTAAGTGTCACCAATCATTGTGTGTGGAGGCTCCCAGGGCCACAAGGTGATGTACAGGGCTGTCCAGAACCATGGCTTGCTCATCCCAGAAATACATCCAATGCCTCACCATTCTTACTTGATTTGCTGCTGGCTGACCTGCAACCACCGTTGCTGGGCATTTCTCGTTATAGTGTGAAACTGATACGTTGGATGCCCACTGGTCCAGGAACCCTTTGGGTGTGTAGATCCCACAGTCCATGATGCTTGTTGTCTGCTCAAACTCTTCGCACACACCATCCCCGTCATGGAAGTAGCAACGGCTCGGTTCATCTATAGAAAGGAGAATGCCATGCGGTCAAGACAGAAGCAAATGCCGTATCTCCACCCAAAAGCACAAGGATGGCACATGATGTGACTTGACAAATCAATGTGAACAGTGCTTTTGGAAAGCCAAGCTCTTGCCCTAGAACTAAATTATGCAAATTAGAAACATTTGCACAGATTTACTCATCTGGCATAAAGCACTTCACTTCCATCACAGTCTGGTTTTCATCACTCTACTCCCCACCACCCTTTCTTCTTGTCAAATACTGGGTTGGCAGAGGGCAAGGAGACAGAGAGAGGAACAGTGAATTGCTAACATATGTATCAGAGGCCAGTTGTGAACCACACATTTTCACAAGCCTGTCAGCAACTTCAAGAGTATTGTCACATAAAATGTGACCACCGCTTGGCCCTGTTCTAACATACTTCATCACTGACCTGTGGCCATGTGTTATTAAACTAGTTGTGTTTTGGCCATGTATCCATCCAAATTCATCTATGAGAAAGTTCCACCAATTTCAATTGCAGCCATTACCCCACATCTACTCTGACCTGGCTATAGTCCTTCTGTTAGCGGGACAACTTTTCTAAGATCAAACCTGAGACCTTATGCATGAGAAGGATGGATCTATGATCCACATAGCCAAGTCTGGAGCCCTTCTAATCACCTCTTTTTGGGGTCTTAACACTGAATTGAACCTGAAGTTTCTGCAGGTGAAGTATAAGATCTAGCAGTGATGGATGTTCTTCTCTTGTTAATAAAGCTAATTACTTAATTATCAGCCCAAGGAGCACCACTATGGACTCATGATTGTCCTTAGAGATCCAAGAAACTGTCTTATACCCAAACTATTTGCCCACCTATTTTAGAATCGTTTACTCTAGTTTACAGTTGTTCCCCCCACAGAAAGGATAAAAATCTTCTCAATAAAAGAAACTGGGGCTTTCCACAGGCTACAGATTTGCTACCTTCCCAAGGAACAGCCTGTTCCTGCACTCCACAGACCACCACTGTCCTTGTTCTCTATACATGACCCTAAAATTCCCAGGAGATTCCCTACCCAGGGGCTTACATTCATACATCTGAATCTTGACACACAAACTCATGTAAAACCAAAAGAAGTAAACAAAAATAAACACACACAGGGTTAGAAAATAACAACAAAGCAAATTAAGAGCTGGCAGAGGGCGACCGATTTTGGTGGCTCAATGCCAGCCAAGAAACTCCAGGCTCCAGTGTCATTCCTTATTTTGTTCTATCATGATCCTTGCAAAACACCAAGTTTAGTGAGGACAAAGTCCTAGTAATTGGAAGCCTCTATTTATCCCACATGCAGCCTGTGTGGGAAAAGGGAGGAGGGGAAAAAGATGAAAACAAGCTTGAATGAGACACCCAACTAGACTGGAGAGAGAAAAAGCAGAGAAAAATTGAGCTGCTTTCCACAGTACAGTATGATCCATGGTCCTGGATGAATGCCCTTTCCTATCTTAACCAGGTTGCTCCAAACCTGGAACCCTGACAATATGAATTCCAACATGTCTTGGTGATGCCAGGTTTAAGGAAAACGACTGAAAACCAGCAGAGCTTTCCCAACAGGGCCTTCTCCAGCTGCTTTTTCTTCATGCCTTTATTTCTTTTATTAAAAACTTTTCAACTGCCCTTCACCAAAAGTTACTAACATTATGGGGAGGGAGGGGAGGCGAGGAAGACAGTCCAGTCAGTAATCTTTACAAGAACATTTGGAATTGTGCCTGAGGAATCAAATCACAGTCCTCGTTTCGGTGGTTTGAGGAGGGCTGCTCAAATTTGTTTGAGTAACTATCATTTGTCTGATTCCAGCTGCCTAGACATTAAATCTCAATATCTCTGGTGGACATAATCTAGATAGGACCTTTCATTTTGATCGTTTTTCCCCCAGCTGCTGCCTTCCTACAAGCCTGGAATATTTGTTCCCTAAGATCTATATCACCCTGACCCTGTTGGGCATCCGAAAAAGCTGTAAAAACCTGATTCTTTCATCAGACCCTGGAGGAGGAGGGAGAGGTCTGCTCCCTGGGGCTCCTTTGGTGGGGAATAGTTGTGTTCTTATTCTCCCTGTCATGCCATGTACTCTTTCAGTGTTTTTGTTCTGTTTTTAACTGCTTTTCCCCGGGTGTTGTAATCTTCTTGTGTAAGCCGCCTAGACCCACCCTCTAATTGAGGCGACGTGCAAGTTGAGAAATAAATAATAGACAAATATATAAAAAAAAGAGGAAGGCATTTCTCTCATTCACCTAGATCATAGAAGGGACTGCTTCCAGCAAGTACAAGTCCTGGTGGGTGACAGTGGCTCCTCTGTGCTGAATCGCTTCCAAGAGAGTAACTTTCCCCCCCCCCCACCCTTTCTTTCAATTCTTTTTCGGTAATAAAAATAAAAATGCGCAAAAAAATATAAAATTAAAAAAATATTATTATCTTAT